TTTTTAAAAAACATCAAATGCAGAAATCAAAGGAGTGAATGTGTACCTGTATCCCAATCTACACATTCTGCTTTTCTCAGGGCCAAACTATATAATACAGTCCCTGCAGAGGGAGCAGAAGGAGAGCTGTGTCTAGGAGGCCATCCTCGACTGGGTGTTTTTTTAAAAAAGGTTTCTGTGAGTAGGTTTGTTTCTGACCATGTGCTCTCAGTGCTTGGCAAACAGGCAAGGCAAACAGGGGTGCTTACACAGTGTTTAGCAAGGGAGTTTTAGGGAGAGAATCAGACTTCCTTTCTTTTTCCCTCTTTTTTAATTGACTGACCTAATTGTTCATTATGGACAGAGATGGAGTGGCTCCAGTCACCTGCAGCAGCTGTGGCATGTTTGTATTCTTGCCAAAGGATGTGCATGCACCAAGTGCAAGTTGATGGATGACTTGTAAGATAAGGTCCGGCAGCTGGATGCCCATGTTTCTCATCTTCAGATTACTAGGGAGCATGAGGATTTCTTGGATGGGGCAGTGAAGATCATCTTCAATACAGAACACATGGAAAACATCATTGAGGAGGAAGACAGTTCACAAATACAGGAGGCAGACACGTGGAGGACTGTCACACACAGAAGTAGAAGGCCCAGGAACCTTACAGAGAGTTTGGAGCTACAGAATAGATTCCAACCTTCCTCCCGTATTAATCAGGAAATAGATCAGCAGCAAGAGCAGCAGTGTCAGCCTGCAGAGAATATCCAGAGGACCCAGAAACAATCTGTACATCAAGGGTCCTCTACCAAGCTCCAGAGGAGAGGAGTTGTGGTGGTTGGGGACTCCTTGCTCAGAGGAACAGAAGCCACAATCTGCAAGCCTGACAAGATGAATTGTGAGGTGTGCTGTCTCCTGGAGCCAAAATTTATGATGTGACAGAGAGACTGACAAGACTTATTCAGCCCACTGACTCTTACCCCTTCCTTTTGGTTCATGTGGGAACCAATGACACTGTGAGGCATAGCTTTCAGGACATCACAAAGGATTATGAAGATATGGGTAGGAAGCTGAAGGACCTGGGTGCGCAGGTTGTAATCACATCTCTCCTCCCTGTTGAAGGACATGGCCCACAAAGGGAGAGAAGAATAATGGAGGTGAACAACTGGTTCTACAGGTGGTGCCGCCAGGAACGATTTGGCTTCTTGGACCACAGTCTGCTATTTCACAAAGATCGTCTTTTGGCAGGGGATGGGGTGCACCTCACAGTTGTTGGAAGTAATGTTTTTGCTAAGAGGCTAACACATCTGATCAGGAGAGCTTTAAACTGAGTTCTGGTGGGGAGGGAGACAAATGTTTTCAGGGCAGAAATTCAGCAAGTGCTGGCGAGAAAAGCCCAGCAGGACAAGTAGTACTAGAGAACAACAAGGGGAAGAAAAATACACATGGTCCTAAATGTCTCTACACTAATGCACAGAGTATGGGAAATAAACAAGATGAACTAGAACTCTTAATACAGCAAAATAAATATGATATAATAGGTATCACTGAAACCTGGTGGGATGAAACTCATGACTGGAATGTAGTTCTTGGGGGATATAAAATATTTTGGAGAAATAGACCTAGCAAGAAAGGAGGAGGAGTACCTTTATATGTCAAGGATGTTTATACTTGTGAAGAGATCCAGGACTTAAATCTAGGAAGCCAGGTTGAGAACATCTGGGTAAGAATTAACGGGTAAAGAAACAAGAGGGATGTCATTGTGGTGGTATAGTACAGACCCCCAAGCCTGTCCGAGAGTTGGATGATGCCTTCTTGGAGCAGATGGCCACGCATTCAAAAGGGATAGATGCAACAGTAATGGGAGATTTCAACTATCCCAATATATGTTGGCAGTCAAACTCTGCCAACAACATAACATCCAGCAAATTCCTCACTTGCCTTGCAGACAATTTCATTGTCCAGTCATGTTCAACTCTAGGGGGTGGTGCTCATCCCCGTTTCCAAGCCATAGAGCCAGCGTTTGTCCGGAGACAATCTTCCATGGTCACATGGCCAATGCAACTTAGACACGGAACGCTGTTACCTTCCCACTGAGGTGGTCCCTATTTATCTACTTGCATTTGCATGCTTTTGAACCGCTAGATTGGGGGGAGCTGGGACAAGTGATGGGTGCTCATTCCATCACGTGGATTTGATCTTACAGCTGAAGATCTACAGACCTTACAGCACAAAGGCTTCTGCGGTTTAACCCGCAGCGCCACTACATCAGCGAGCTTACTCTAGTGTAATTTACCACATTAAGCAAAAGGATTTTGGCCACACACACACACACACACACACACACACACACACACACAAGCCACACATAAAAATTATTTAGTTCCTCTTTTCAAAGTAATATAATATCATTTTCTCAAAATGTGTACTGAGCCATGTTTATTCATTGCTCCTTATGTTACTTATTTGAGGAATTCTTAGACATCTCTTTTAATTACTAGTGGCAATGAACTACTCTTAAAATATTGGAGAATATTAACAAGGCACTTTAAAAAAGCATGACAACTAACACATTACTTTCATAATGTTCCAAGCTTTGCAGTTTCACTTCTTACACACAATCTTTTTAAATACAAAGGCCTTTCTCTGTGTCTTAGTCCAACAGCTGTAGTGCATTTGTTCTTGTGCACAAAGGCTGAGAAGGATTTATTAATGTATGTATTTGCTGGTAAGCAGAACTTGTGCATGGATGAGCATGGTATGAAGTACCTAGAATCTGGTACTTCAGTGAAGTTCGCATATCTTGCTGTAGCTCATTAATGAGGCGCTAGGGCACATATTGGTAATGTGCCTAGCCATGTACCTAACTGCACAGATGAGACCTCATTAATCAGCTGCAATCAGCCATGGCAAGTAATGCAAGACCTAGGCAAACACTGGTAGGATTCTGCCCATTGTAATTTCCAAATGGACCTTAGCTCACACCTTCTGGAATGCTTGCCATAGTCCACAATAATAACAATTACATATCAAGTCAATTCTGACTGAAAGCATCCTCTTCGAGGGTTTTCTAGGCAGTGAGTACTCAGACGTGATTTACCATTGCCTTCTTCTGAAGCTGCTCTGAGACTGTGTAGTCTGCCCAAGTCTCCATAGGCTGGCTCTTCCTCCAGGAAACACAGTGAAGGACTGAACCCCCCCAAACCCCGGCTCAGAAGCTCCAGTGGATTGAGTTATCCAGCCAATAATTACTCAGTCATAAACATGATTGAGATTCTAACATTTGAAAGAAGTTAACTCTTCACTAGCTGGGGAATGATCCCAATAAAACTTGCTCTCAATATAAGCATTTATTTTAGATTTATTAAAAACCACAGAGCTCTGCAATGGCATCACACAAATACCATTTATTACAGTGAAAAGAAAAGTACATAGATCTTGTAAGTAAAGAAGGTAGGAACAAGGATTGAAAAATACATAAATTCCTCATCTAAAAGACTGTGCATCAAATCTTTGTTACTTAAAGACCTGTGTGCTCTTGGGTAGGAAACGCAGGGTTGATCAAACACATGTACAGCAGAAGAGCAGAAAATGGCCAGGGTCATGTCTAGGTTTGGATGTGGGCAACTGAAATGGACAAGAATGCACCAATTCAGTGGCCACTTAAGCAGAAGAATGAGAGTGGATTCTGCCACAAGCAAGTCAGATGTTGCCTGTGGAATAAGCTTTCTTGTCACCCGTACATCTGGGCTTTCTTGTGACATGTTTACATGCAGAATCACAACCTACGCAGGCGATACTGCCAGACATAAACAAAGAGAAGCTGCAGATAACCACATCTCACTTGGTTATAGACAGCAAGAGACCACTTGGTTATAGACAGCAAGAGACCACTTTTAAGTGAGTATGCTTCTAAATGGGTTTATGTTTTTCAAAAGTCACCTACAATTCTATTGATTCCAATGGATGGCTCAGCAGAAATTTGATGCCTTGCCTTAAAAGCAGATGATGCCTTCTGGTTGGTCCCCTCCTACATCAGTGGAATCTGGTGTTGGGCTCATCTGGCAGGGGCAGCAGGGCTCCGAATCAGTGCCAGCAACTTCTAGTTTAATCCCCCCCGGAGTGTTGTGCTTCCAGCTGCCTGACAGTGCCATGTATTTCCATACAATGTGGGGAGAGACACATGTCTACAGCTCCCTAGAGAGGATGGCAAAAGTACTGGCTTGTGGTGGATAACTTTTGGAGAGGGATAAAAATTGGAGAAGGATTGGCCTGCATAGCGTTTCTATGCCAAAACCTCCTCCTGACAAACTGGGGGGGGGGGGGGAGACAACTATGGGCATAATTCCATCAATATCAAAAATGGGAGCATCTTACTGATATTTCTGGGGGAAACTTGAGCACACATCCACCTTTTCCACTACACTCAATAGAAAATGCTTGATCCTCCCTGGCTAAATTGTGTTCCATATTCTGTCATATTCCTACTTCATGGTCATGAATCAGTTTAAGCATTTCTTTAAAAATGATCAGATCTTTGGAGGAACTATATCTATTAGCTTAACACAGACAATGTTTCAATGAGATAGCCATTGTTTCCAAAATCAACGTAAAACATTCATTATGATGCTGACGGAGCATCAAGAGACTGCTTGAAGGCAAAGATTAAAAATTCTACATTTTAAATCTGTGATGGGTAAATAGAGGACACATAGAACATGCCGCCGCCAAACCATGGTTAAGTTTGGGATTAAAGCTAGAGTGTGTTTACTGTAAAGTCTTTTGTGCTAAAGGCAGCTGAACATTATGTTCTGTGACCAGCTGGCTAACCGTGTTGGCACTTTGACGCTGGATATTTCTGCTGGCATGGATGGCTTTGCCTGCAGCATAACATCAGGTTTTGTTGTGCTGCACTAAACTGTTGGCAATGCACAACCTGAACAGATCTAGGTTGTTAATCTGATCAATATTATTTGGGTTTTCTTAAAGGCCAAAGAAATTACTCTTGCAGCACTACCCATTTCTACAGCTGAACTGTAGTGCCAATATGCCACTTACCTGATTATGGGCTACAAAACACCAGATAGAAAAGCTTTGGCTTCTTTGTGCCAAACACACTGTACACAAACAAACTTTGTTTTTGTTTTCTTGTGGTTCTTCAGAAACGTTGGTTATATATAATATTGGTTTCTTACTGATCTCCACATAAAACTGTGGAGAAGTAAGCACATTTTGGTTATTGCCCACAGACGTAACTGCTATGCCATTGTTGTGTTGGTTGGTATAAACAATTGGTATGAAATCCATGCTATCACTTCTCTTTTACAGTAGCAAAATAGAAAGGGTCTTGTTACAGCACAGCTACAGAGGTAGCTGTAGATCCAGAAGTAAGGCTGTAAAGATTCTTGCTTTCAATTCGACCCTCGTTCAAACTTGGCATGTTGGCCCACAATCAGGCACCTCAAAAAGACAGCAGAGGGGAGGAGAAAGTATTTATAGTCACATTAAAAGCATGCTAAGTTCACTTTTCTTTAGGAGAACACAACTGGGAAGCAAACAGGGCAAACTTTGAGACGTTTGGTAACAAACAGTTTGATTGAAAACAGTTACAAGATTTATATACAACACAAATATTTGCTATCTTAGAACCAAGAAGTCTTAAGTATTTCAATAGTAACCTAAAGCCACTATACAGCAAAGCAAGCCATTAACGACACATTTTTATGCTTGTTTACTCAGAAGTAAGTTCCACTAAAATTCAACAGACTTTACTTTCTAGTCAGTCTGTACCGGATAGCAGCCAAAACCTAGTAGAGTGGGGAGACAATTTTTTTAAAAAAAGAAAATATCCATAGTTGGAGCAAACATCACATCTTTCCTCTTCTCATGAGAAGTTAAGACACAATGTTAGAAATGTATACACAGTACTTTAAATTGCGCTAAGAACAACATAAACAGAAAGGTGCATCAAAGCATTGCTTTCTCCACTAGTAGGGCATCATTTTCTAGATACCACATCTAAACCCATCAAAATACCCTGCTCTTTATGAGTGAAGAAAACATTAACCTCTGTCCATATGCTTGTGGCCTACATAGTTTGTTGCAAGTAAGGGTACTTTGTGAAATATTCAGTCTGTTTGGGGGTGAAATGTCCTCTTTTGCACCGTACCATTTTAAGATTTCAGCAATAAAACCCAGGGCGATTGGTTTTAGGTGCCAATGCCTTGAAAAGCTTCAGATAACATAGTGACTAGATTCGCTGAAAACCAAGCCTAGTCAAGATGGCACTCTTGCCTGCAGCATCCCCATTGAGTCATCCTGTTCCGACCGGTCATGTGCAGTTGACATGCTCTGCAACTCTCCAGTACTCTAAAGATGCCAAGAGCCAACCTTGCATGCATCAGCTTTTGCTGGGGTTGTAAGGACATACTGTGAATGTAAGCTTTCCATTTTGCAATCTTTGCTCTCTTTCCCATTCCACTTTTGCACTTCTGACAGGCATTCTCATGGACCTGGGTTGGGCCTGGTCTCTGGCTTTTACCACCTGAATATATGCTTCAGGCCCCTAGGAAAAGAAAAGGACAAAGAAAGGAATGGAACCGGTTTCGCCAGAGTGTTGCATAGCAAAGTACCAGGTAACAACAGGCCATCTTCTAAATCCACAGGTTCTGTGAGAACTATTGGCCTCTGTTGTGGCTCTACAGTGTTGTTTTTTGTGACTCCTCTTTTTGTTTTCCCCTCCACTCAAGTACTTCATGTACTGGCATCTGCTTGTCAGTTGAACCTGAGAATTATTTGTTCAAGCTCCTGGCCCATCCACCTTGGCCCAGTCGTCCTAGCTGCTGCCAGTAGAAGAACATACTGAGCTACACATATTCAGGTTGGAATTCTCAGATTCTGTTTCAGTCTCAGCTTCATCAGTGGTTTCAGGTGGAGAAATGGACTCGTTCATTTGATCTTGGCTCTTCTTCAACCTGGGCAAAAGAAAAGAGCAGGCTGATTATAGGTAAAGGTGAAGGTTCCCCTTGACATTTAGTCCAGTTGTGTCCAACTCTAGGGGGTGGTGCTCATCCCCATCTCCAAGCCGTAGAGCCAGCGTATGTCCATAGACAGTTTCCATGGTCACGTGGCCAGTGCGGCTAGACATGGAACGCCATTACCTTCCCACTGAGGTGGCACCTATTTATCTACTAGCATTTTTACATGTTTTTGAATGTCTAGGTTGGCAGGAGCTGGGACAAGTGATGGGCGCTCACTCCATTGTCTGGATTCGATCTTACAACTACTGGTCTCCTGACCTTGCAGCACAGAGGCTTCTGCGGTTTAACCCACAGCATCACCACGTCCCTGTGAGGCTGATTATACAGATGTTGGAATGATAAGGAGAACCATGTTGTGAGGCAAGAAAGCATGTGCCAGACAACAGAAATGAAAAAAGAACTGTGCATTTTTGCAAAGGTTTCCTTTGTGTATTTTGAATCTCATTCCATACTTAGTCCTCCACATGTTCAGGGTATGCAAGAAGAAAGGACCAGCGTCATGCCACTAGCTCTATCCTTTGCATTGTTCTGCCCCATTTTAACCCAACCTCCAAGAAAGACACACCCTTAAGTAGAAAACTAAAACACAAAAGACTAAATTCAGTTGCTAGTCCCATTTTTAATTGACATTAACTTCCCATTGAGTCAATGAGTCTACACTAATTGAGATCAGGAACTGGAATGCAATGCAAAACCTTTTCAGCAATACTCTAGGCATCATATCAAATGAAGTGGCAGTGTCATCTGAGTTTTGGAAAAGCAGAGAGCTTTGTTGGGCAGTCTTTATGTACTTTTCACGGGTAAGCAAACACCTTTTATTCACCTAATTCTTTTCAATAATACAGTGGTGCCTCGCTTAATGATTACCTCGTTAAACAACGAATCCGCTTTACGATGGTTTTTTGTGATCGCTATTGTGATTGCAAAATGATCTTCCTATGGGGAAAATTTGCTTCACAGCAATTGGTTCCCTGATTCGGGAACCAATTCTTCACATTATGACGATCTAAAAACAGCTGATCGTCGGGTTTCAAAATGGCCACCCGCTGTGCAAAATGGCTCCCCGCTGTGTTAAGGACGGATTCCTTGCTATACAGATACCAGAAAATGGCCGCCCTATGGAGGATCTTCGCTGCACAATGAGGTATTTTGCCCATTGGAACGCACTGAATGGTTTTCAATGCATTTCAATGGGTTTTTAAATTTCGCTTGACGACGATTTCACTTAACAATGATTTTAACGGAACACATTATCGTCGTCAAGCGAGGCACCACTGTATATGTCAGATAATCTGGACTTCTCAGCTTAAATAATCAAGGTTTTAGTGCTGCTAGCTTTTATTGTATATCTGTCAGAAACCTATAGGAATAAACTGTGATGGTGATTATCCACTAATTAAGGATTTGTCACTGACATTCCTAGAAGTGTGCCAAGTTGTGTGACTGGTGGATAACTAGGCAACTTGTTAGCTGCCAGCAATTTGCCCCCGCAGTTTATCCCTTTACAGTTATATCAGCATAATTCTACAATAAGCTTTTGGCCACTGTATTTTAATGTTGCATTTGTTACGTGAGCCAATCCCAAACACTGGGATCATGAGTCAGCCATATAAATTTGCTAAATTAATGCATAGTCAAGAGGCTAGGAAAGCCTGAAAGTGACCCCTTTTCAAAGCAAATAAAAATAGTTGTAGATCCACAATTGCCTCCTGCCAGACCTCTGGCTGTGGGGCATGGAAAGGATGGTGGGACATGGAAACATTGTGGCGGAGGCAGTGGCATAATCCCACTCTCTCTTTTATTCACAGCACAATGAGAGCTTTAACATGGCTCCCAAACCTAGTAGCTGGGGAACTTTGAGAAGCAATGATTTTTGTGCAGGTCTATGGGCAAAAGGAAATAGAGGGACTATGTGTCTGGTACAGAGGAGACATTAATTGGACTTAATAAAGATATTTTTCTTGTGGGGAATTTTACTGTAAAAAATGGAAGAGAGGGGAAATACAAGTTAGTGTAGCAGGAAAAACAAAGAAAGCTGCACAGCGTATGTGGCCCGTGGGGGCTTCTCGTTTGGCTTTCTGGCCTTTCCTCTTAGGTTCTGCCTCCTCTGTGGCCCCACCTCTCCTTCCAGGAGTGCATCCAAAGAAAACAAGCCTCCAGCCTTACCCAAATCCCACACCCCAAACTTACTTCTCTCTGTTAAAAATGACAAAGTCTTGCTGAATTGCTTCTAGGCAGTCCTGGAGGTAGTCGTTTTCCTATTAAAAGAAAAAGTTAACTTGGACTTTTTGCCTCAGCTGCAGTGCTTTTGTGGTTATAACATGGATGACATGAAATTCATTATTGATTTTATACTGTTTCTTTTTCATTGCATGGTCTCTTTTGCCTTCATTTTTTAAAAATTACTTCAGGACTATGATTCTCATAATTTAGCATATATGATACTGTAGTTAAAACATCAGGCTAAGATTCAGAAGATGAGGTTTGAAATCCCTTAGCTATGAAACTTACAGGATGGCTTTGGGTGCATTATCCAAAATTACTACTTTCTCCTCGCTTCAGAATTGTGTAGACAGCATGTACTGTATGTCTATGTTGGTTGGGAGGTTGTGGGAACTGTAGTCCCCAAAGTAATGAAGTCTATCAATCGCCATTTTTCAAACTGCTCTAAACCCTTTCATGTCATTGTTGCACAGATATAATGGAGGGAAGGGAAGTAGGCACACTTTGGAGAAAGGCAAGACTCAAATGGATACCTAGTATGGTATAATGGATAGTGTAACAGACTATGACTCAGGAGGCCTAGGTTCAAATCTCCCCTCAGCTATGGAAACTCACTGGTGTGTTAATCTCCCCTCAGCTATGGAAACTCACTGGGTATGTGTGTGTGTGTGGAACTGGAAAAACCATTCACATAGTTATCTCACCTTGAAGGCCATATTAATAATAATCATGTGCTGTCAAGTCAATTCTAACTTACGGTTACCTTTTTCAGGGTTTTCCAGGTAGAGAATACTTAGAAGTAGTCAACCATTCCCTTCTTCTGGGGAAGCCCTGGGACTGTGCAGCTTGCCCAGGGTCACACAGGCTGACTCTACTTTGCGAATTTTACTTACAGCTTCCTATTTAACTATGTAATTTAAACACAGATCGTAGCATATATTTTCTTTTCATACATACACTTACAAAACTGTGTTAAGCACCAAGCTGGCTGATTGGGGGTGGGTGGGCATCAGCTGTATCAGCAGTTGTTGTAACAAATTGCCTAAGTAGAATTTGGGCTTATCACAATAGAAATGATGTTTGCACAAAAATTAAATAGTAGGAGAGGAGATTGCAGAAGACAAATGTTCTGCATTCTCCTATAAAGCTCTTCTCTGAAACAGATGTTCAGGAGGCAGCATAGCATGGCTTGTATTGGTAGTTGAAACGTTTTCTCATTCTTCAGAACCTAGGGCAAGGTAACTGATTCTACGAGTTCACAACCTTCAAACTTTTTGGTTTATTTTGGTAACTGCAAAGAGACACTTACTGACTGTGAGCTGTCCTTGCTGTTATCCCTGGATTTATTCTTCGCAAGCCTCTTCTTCTTCTTGTGCAGTGGCCTTGACTCCAGGATCATCTCTTCAAGCTCGAAGGTGGGGTCACAATGCAGACGGCCTTTCTGTTATAATGAGACAGAGTTACTGCCTCAAAGCCGTGAGAATGACAAGTGAGATAATTCAAGCCACATATAATGGGAAGAAATTGATCCGCCACAGGTAAAGCCTTGGCTTTATATTACTGCCTCCTTTCCTATTCCCCTCCTCCACCAAATAACAGGGATCAGGAAGAGGAGCAAAGGTAGTCATTGCTTGGACTTACGTTAGGAACGAAACCTGGCTCCACTTTCTTTTCACCAATTTCATCCCAGTCCACCTTAGAGAAGTAGGAGGAAGTCTGGATATCAGCTAGGCTAGAATACCGATGTTCAGGATTCACGGTCAAAAGCTGAAATTGCACATATTGAGGAGTGAGGCAGAGCTGGTCTTGACAAAATAGCACATCTAAAGGGGAAAGCTTTTTTAGCGGAGGCTTATCCTTATATTACTTCTGCAGCCTGTGGGGCCAACATTCCCATTAGGCAAAGCTGGAGAACCAAGTAACAGACCATCAGGACAAGAGGGAGATCCTCTGGAATCATTACCCTGCCCTCCACCACAAGGACCCACTCCCTATGAGGGAGCTAACTATTGTTGCTGCTTTCCATGGCTCTCCAGAGGAGGCTTTCTTCCAAACACCGAGATCTCAGGACCCTGAGCTCTAGAGGCAGAAACAACCCCTTAGATCATCATGGACAGAACCCCCAATCATGCTTAGTGAAAAATAGTGGACTCTGTGGAGAGGAATGGAGATATTGCTGGTCTCTTCAGTGCCCCTCTGTTCTTTGTGTCACTCTTGGAAATGTTCAATAGCACACACATTTTTATTCCCTTCCATATTTTGTAGCAAAATTCCCAGAAAAAAAGACCTCTTCCATAATTAAATAAAACATAAAATGTGTGTAACATTAAAAAACCAATGAACAGAATCGGTGGCATGGAAATGCCATAGAAAGGATGAGCCCATAAAAAACAGCAAAGAACTTATTGAAGTCACTCCTATTACATTAGAAACCACTATTAAAATTAGTGCTAAATTGCAACTGATTTGGCTAGTAATTGAAGAGCTACATTTCAGAATAAATTATTTTCACTTATGGCTCCAAGGCCTCCAACAGTAGCTAACATTATAGTTAGAAATATGCAAAGGTAACCATTTAGTCATCATTTTGTAAAATTGGCTGAAACAATTACTTTTAGTTACTTGAAAACACAGACATGTGAACACTATGAGCTATTGCTTTGCAGTACAAAACACCTTTTTCTTCTGCCTACCCTGATGTTGTGATGATATAGCAAAAGACAGCAATAAAAGGCAAAGGGTAAGCTGGTGCTTGAACCGTATGATATTCTATGCCTATCATATAATGAGAATGAGGACAACTGTAAAAGTAACAAAAAAGTGAAGTTACAATGCAAGAAAAGTCATCACTCATTACAAGCAACAGTTGCAGTTTGATATAATGATGCTCTCATTGGTGGGAAAAGGAATTAATTCCAAGTAACGAATTGCCTCCAGACTCTGGATTTTGGAAATATCTTTCTAATTAAGGATTATTGCAGGGTGATCCTAACCTTTAAGTCTGGCAGTTGGAAATGTTAGGATGCAGCAGAAGTACTGCTCTGCCAGAGAAAGCAGGCCCGGGGGAATGATATCCATCTTGGCCCCCCGAATGGATAACTCTGCAGCCATAGCTCTACTACAAACTTCCCATCTCCTGTTACCTGAACCTTTCAAATGGAGATGCCATCTAACAATGTCTTGGACCATCTGCAAGCAGTGGTACCTATGCTATTCTGTTGTGGTAAGACACCTAACACAGCTGGAATAGTGTTACACCTGTACAGCTTGGGCAACTCCAGTCTGGCATGCACCCAACACTTTGTCATTACTTCCCAAATCAGTTTAACACGCCACCATCCAGGCCACTTTGGACAGTTATGCAGAAAAGATGATCTCAATATGGTAGCTAGCTTTATGTATGAAGACTATAAATTGGATGGATGCATTTGAAAAGCCTTAGAATAAAAGCTTACATTTTGTCCTTAAATAATTTATACATACCAGCCTAATGTATTTTCAGCTGTGATATATTCTGTCATCATTTACATTACACAGTTTGTTTTTGAAGGGCTGTTCCTACCTTAATCCAGCAGAGGGCATCTGTGCTCTTGTTGAGTCATTGTTAGTGGAATTGGTTGACACTAACTTAGAGGGGGGGGGGCAACGGGATTGTTTCCACTGTGGTGTAGGGTTTTTTTTAAATGTTTAGTTTTATTAACACAGGGTGCTGACACTTCACTTTTTAAAATGGTCCAATGTTTACAAACAGTATATTAACACATTTCCACTCCCATGAGAACAGTAAACATAACATAGCATAAGACTCTTCAGATCTACCACTGAAAAAGGAATGTGTCAGGAGATCATATAACCCAGGACAGACAACCTATGTGGGAAATCCACGGGAATCCATATGGGCCTCTTCAGCTTTGTGTCTAGGATGTTATTACAGGGAGAGAGTGCAATGAAATGTGCCCATATATCATCCTCTGGCAGGAGAGTTCTTGCTCAGAACACCAGGTGGCAGATCCTCCTACAGAAAGGGTGAGCAACCCCTGGGAGCTGAAGCATTATTTTGTCCATGTACCCATGGGGAGGGCTGCCTTTTGTCACCCAGTTTACTGCTGTACCAACAAATTCTGGTGGTGTGGCAAAGGCAGTTTTTGCTGTAAATAAGGTCTGTCTGTATTGTGAATCCTGCTTACATACATGTGATTTGGCTTGAAAACCAGCTTGTACTCACTGCACACCTGGTCTGAAAGCAGCAAAACAACAAATTTCCGGGGTGGGGGGGGAGACAGTGATATCCCAGCTTTACATAATTCCCTACTCTGTTCTGCAAGTCCTGAAGGCTTCCTAGGAATAAAGGGGATTTCTAGGAGGTAGGGAAGGTAGGGGAGAAGAAGATTTTAATTTCCTGAAACAGACATGGCTGATGATGTCACTGGAGATCTGTGGCATAAGTGAGGCCAACAGGATTTCAGCCACAATGGCGTCTCTAAATGCTTCCACCAAAAACCTTTAGCCCTGAACAGACCAAGGCTCGATATCCATCTGTTCTTTATAAACGGCATACAGTGGTGCCCCGCATAGTGATGATAATCCTTTCTGGATAAATTGTCGCTATACGGAAACGTCACTATACGGGGCAAAATCCGCATCGCTATGCGGATTCGTCGTTAAATGGGGCACTCGTTATGCGAGGCACCACTATATTTAAAAACAAAAATGTTTGGCACAGGCCAGCACTTTCAGACTGGGGTCAAATGTCCTTTTGTTATTGTTTAAAAACTGCACTCTACATCATGAGGTTTAAAAGCTGTTCCATTAAAAATAAAAATCAGGTTTCTTGAAAGTCTGTCAGGCTTTCCTGGGCCACATGAAAAAGCACTGAAGTTGCCCATCATTGTACAAAAAACCCTAAGAAATGAGGCTGAAAAAGGTATGTAGCATATCATAACTAACTCACATTACAGGATGATATTCAGCTTGTTAGGTGTCTAATGCTATTAGATACTTATACAAGCAGGTTGTATGAATAGTTTGCAAGCATAATGTTTGCAAATATAATGCAAAAGAAAGCCAAGATAGGGAATAAATTCCCATCTGTTAATTCATGCACACATGTATGTTAACATACACAGGCATAGGAAGCACTTCATCAGCCCGTTCTGAAAATGTAGTGTGGGAATAAGTCTACATTAATGAAAAAGGAAGAGAATAATTAAATTATATGATGTTGCCAATCAAGATTATGATCATTGTATACTTTTAGAAATAAACATTGTTCTTTTTCTAAATCATCAACATTGAACATGGTGTGTTTCTATATTTTTATCATCTACATTGCACACTTACATTTTGAAGCAGCGAATACGATGCAAAATGTGATCTAGAAAATGTATGAGATGAAGTGCCCTGTGATTATAGTGCCAAGCACAGTATCTTCGTGATCAATGCTCAAGACGACTGGCATTGCTTCTTGACACTCTGCTTGCCACAAAGTTCATGGAGTCATCCCTTCTGAAAACTATGCAGCTGTGGGCTAAATCCAACTGTTACTCCCATCTAGAGCAGACCCATTGAATGAATGAGAGATAAGACAACACTTATTTATATCTCATTGATTCTACTTGGGTCTAACAATCGGATTTTGTCCTGTGAACTCTATGTCTAGATCAAAGTTCTTGTTTGCATTACGTTGAAGAACAACTGCGGTTCTTAGTGGAAGTAGAGTTCCCTTACCTTTCTCAATAATGCCACCATGTCTTTTGACCACGTTGTTGCATACTGGACACTTACAGTGCTGAACAACTGGACTAAAGATTCCACTGGACTATTAGAGTGGATGTCATATATTTTCTGGGAAGAAAGAAGAAATCAAAAAAGAAAGACTGGAAGTGCCATGCTTACTTCTGAAGGTGGTAAAGAATGAAAGGGCAGTATCCTTTAGACTGCCAAAATAACTTAAAAATAAAGAACATGGCACACACCCATCCACGGAGGAGCTCATATGCCATCACTCCTAGTGACCACCAATCAACTTCAAAGGAGTAACCAGTTCCACCATTCACAAAAGAATGGAAAATCTCTGGAGCTGAAAAGAAAAAGAAAAATATATATCCAGGAATAGGTTATTGATTGTGTTCATTTTTCACCTCCATTAAATTGCCATTGCAGGAAACTAGCTCAGAGGGCATATTGATATATATGTTCCTGAAGAAGGAAGCTCTGTTTAGCAAGGCTCATTCCTAGGTATGTCTATACAGGACTGCAGGCTTACTATAACTTTTGCAAGAGCAGGGGATGGAAGTTATGAAACAGAAAGGTCAGAGCTTTGGAAAGTTACAAGCCATGATGGCTTGAGAATACTGGCAGAAAGGGTGACATTTGCCAGCTCTGAAAAGAGGACTGAGACACCAGCCTTTGGTGTGTATGAGTGGGCAGGAAAGGCACATACATCATAATCAGCTTTACATGTGGAGTTGTCGCTTGCATTCCTAGCTATATGGAAATCACATGACTGGTCCAGGACTAGGAACCCAAATGGCAACTTGTTAACTGCCAACAATTTGCCCCTGCAATTTATACCATTACAGGTATAATGGCATAAATCTACAATAGGATTCTAGCAGTTGTATTTTAATGTTGCATCTGATTTGGGAGCCAAACTCAAAATTGTGTCATTTGGCACCCACATAAATATGCCAAACAAATACATACTCTTGAGCTAGGGAAGCTTGAAGAGAGATTTGTGGCACAAGCTTCAAAAGCAAAGCAAAGCACAAGCAAAGCGTGCTGCTTATATACCACCCCATAGTGCTTCAAGCACTCTCTGGGTGGTTTACAAGTTAATTATGCAGGCTACACATTGCGCCCCCCCCCAGCGAGTTGGGTACACATTTCACCGACCTCGGAAGGATCAAAGGCTGAGTCAACCCTCCAACCTTAGGTCGTGAGCACAGTTTTGGCTGCAGTAATACAGCAGTTTAACCACTGTGCCATGAGGCTCACATTTTCAATGCAATTAAGAACAGCTACAGATGCATAGTTGCCTCATTCCAGGTTTTTTGCTCTGGGTTATGGGCAGGAATGAAAGGTGCATACTTCAGAATCTGTTTTACATGGTGACAATGAAAATGTGGATTTATGGATCCATGCCAGTAGAATTAAAATCCTGTAGAAAAGGATGGATGGTAGCTAAGTGGCAGAGCACATAATATGCATACAGAAAGTCCCAGGTTCTCCAGTTGGACATGACCATATGGCAGGTGAGGAGGGGGGAAAATCACTAAGCTCTTGAAGAATTGTTGTCTGTCAAAGTAGAAAATATGGGGCTAGTTGGACAGATAGGCCTGCCGCAGTAAAAGGAAGCTTCCTTCCTTCTTATGAAAGACAAATTTGCTTCCTGTGCAGGGAATATTCCATTTCAGTACACATTTCTGCAAAGGTTCAAGTTTCCTGTCAGAAAACAGAGAGGGAGAGAATGGGGCAGAGGCAAAGCAGCACTGGAGACAAAGGTGAGAGATCCTGTCTGCATCCATATACCAATCCTGCAATGCCTTCTCTTCAAAACATGTGATTTAGAAAAGGCCTCACCAAGTGCTGATGCTTTAGGATACAAAGGGGGGGGCTACAAGCAAAAGGGAGAAATTACTCCTTCAGCTACTCCTGGCAAAGGGAGCTTCCGCCAGTTCAATGACTTGTGGAAAATGCTTCTGCCAGCACAGGAGGGAAATGTCCATTGATGCAAGTCTAGCTATGCTAATAGAGGGCTGTGACACAGCGAGCCCAAAGGGATGCTTTGAGAAGTTAAACAGAATGTCTCTGAATCAGATGGGTAAAATGTAACACCTTAAATTAAAACCGTAACAGAATGAGAATCAAGATGCAACCTTTGCTGGACCTAACGTAGAGACCAATAAAGGGGCTGTCATGGATCAAAATCTTAAGTTACACTGCAAAATTTATTTTCCACGTGAAGGAACTGAGAAATTGGAGAAAGAAAGAACATGGGCTTCCTTGTTGAAATTAAGATAAAGGGGCTGTCATGGATCAAAATCTTAAATCTTTATTTTCCACGTGAAGAAACTGAGAAATTGGAGAAACAAAGAACATGGACTTCCTCTGTGAAATTAAGACTTTTCTGTCAGTCCCTGGGAACAGCTGGCTAGAAGTGGGGTTTTCTGTCATTGCCTGGGAACAGCTGGCTGGAAGTGGGAAGGGAAGAGTCTGTCCAGTAAAGAGAAGGGAGTAACGCCTGCCGTTTATCTTTTGTGAGCGAGGCCTTCAAGGCCAAGTTGGCTTGTTCCCTGGTACTGTGGTAATTAGAAAGTGACTTGAACTATGTGAGAGGAAGGGACAGGAAGTGCTCTTGTCTTCGATAATATTCAAGGAAACTCAAAACCTGATTGGCAGATCATCCGGAATGGTCCAGAATGTGAAGCTTAATATATAAAAAGGAGTTCTGAGTTACTTTAGTTGGCTTAGCTTATCTCTTATCAGATGCTATGCTTGGTTGTTGTCCCGTAATGCTGTGCTGAAGTGCTCTTGTCTTCGATAATATTCAAGGAAACTCAAAACCTGATTGGCAGATCGTCCGGAATGGTCCAGAATGTGAAGCTTAATATATAAAAAGGAGTTCTGAGTTACTTTAGTTGGCTTAGCTTATCTCTTATCAGATGCTATGCTTGGTTGTTGTCCCGTAATGCTGTCCTGGAAGGGATGTACTCTGTGCATGCTCCAAAAACCATGCTGATACTATGCAAATGTGTAAGCATTAGGTAACTTAGCTAGCTTTCTTATTTTCTGTTTTTCTTCACTATTTCAGCCTTTGCCTCAAGTTGATTGTTTGCTCCCAGTGCTTTTTGAAACATTCTGGGATCTTTTTGTCATTTTCACCATTTTTATTAAAATATAAGCTGGCTGGATAGCTCAGTGGTTTGGGTCTCTGACTGTGGAGCCAGAGGTTGGAAGTTCTACCTTGCAGGATTGGTGTAATGGTCTAAAGTGCACCTTGTGGATTTTGGGAACTTCCTGAAAACACTGCTCAGTCAGGGTAGAATAGGGTGTTGGGAGGCACCTGAGTCAGGTAGATTCCCTAACCATCATCACCAGACTGGACTCTCCTGGATTCACCCACTCCAGCACCAACAGGGTAGTGTTGCTGAGTGCTTAGAGTGGTACTTCCTGAAGCCTGTAAACTGTCACATGAAATAAAAGGCACAACACAGTCCTTTAGATGAGCATTTAAAGGCATAGATGAACAAGTATGCTGATCCCTAATATGGAGCTGCTTAAAAGAAATAACAAATCACTAATTTTATAGGAATGGAAGAAAAGTGGCTTTTTAAACACTGCTCAATTCATCAGAGTTTCTGAACCACTAACAAAGAATTGTGGGGTGGTTTCTTCCAACGGGTAGAACTGACACCTGTGGAGAAAGTTCCAAACCCTAACACTTTGTGTGGGAGGAACATAATCAAATAATCTATCATCAAAACATTTGCATGGAGATCCTCTCAACTAAGTGAAGTTGTTTACTTACCCATATATGGCTTCGTTCCAGCTAGAGCAGTTGCTCTTTCACTGCCCCTGATGATGGTTGCAATATTAAAATCAGTTAGGTGTGCATGGCCTGAAATGAAAATAAGAACAACGTAAAATGTCAAGTTATGTAGAAACAAAATATGTAACATTGATGCTAAAACACTGCACAACTGTGTTGCCCATTTCCAGGCTGGCTGGAGATGGCAGGATTTGTAGTTCAACTAATCTGGAGGTGGGTGGGGTTGGGGAAGGCTGCATTAAGAGTTAGCATAAGTGTAAAATTGCTCCCTCACGAATAATGTGAATCATGTGGCATTATCTAGGTTTCATTATAGAGGTCTGAAAAGAACCCAAGCCTCTTGCTGTTTTCAAAGATTAAGAACTAAAGCAATGAGAACTATTACATTACCATCACATTATAAGGAATATTACAGGTTTTCCCACTAGTTTTTAGTGTACTAGATGCACAACTTTTGTAAAGCCAGCAAGCATTAATATAATTAATATTCGCACATGCACACACGCATGCGCGTGCATGTGCGCATGCACACACACACACACACACACATCTCCAGATCCCATGTTGCCATGCTGGCACATGGTATACATATATGCATGTGTGTGTGCACGTGCGTCTGTGTGTGCGTGCGTGCGCACATGCATGCATGTGCAAATATCAATTTTGTGCACTAAATTTGGCACCTGCTGTAAAAATTCAGCCAGATATATATATTACAGCAGGTGCCAAATTTAGTGCACAAAATTAATATTCATATATATACCCAAATCTTAAAAGCTGAGTAGAACTTCAGTCTAGGCATAGTACTTTCTTTTTAAATGAACACTCAAATTAAAGGAACAGTTTTATGTTACTCAAGACCTTGAACGCTGTGTTTTGAATTGATCAACACTGTCTTAACAAAAGTCTTATTGCACTGATCCTATGAATTGTGTTACTGTGTGCCAACATGGCAAGATGCAATCTGGATAAAATGGGTAAAGGTCCTGTGGCACCTTAAAGATAGCGGTCAGAATCTTATTGGAACCATGACACATGAACTAACAGTTGCACAAGTGGTGTGCCTGATTTTGCTTGCTGTCCAGAGTATGGCCTGACATGCTTGGTCTGCACAGGAACCTGGCAAAAGGTCAAAACACATGCTCAACTGCCCTTACGTGTGCTATATTTTGCAATATGCTTTTGATCTGAAAAGCTAAATCCAATTGTTAGTACCAACCTGATAAGAGCCATTGAATCAATGGGACTTACATAAAGCTTGACTTAAAAGGGTCCATTTATTCAATTGATCTACTCCAGTTTGGACTTATAGTGGGATTTAGCACTGACAAACTTCCATGGACTAACGCTCCATATCAAATACTAGATTATACAATCATGCATTTGTTATTCTATAAAGTGCAGAAAGACTTTTGGTCCAGGAGACTAGCCTGACTTCCACTCTGGGAACAGTTATGAGTAATTTCTACAAACTGCTTCTCGGGGTCAGCATACTCCTTAATAGAAGTTTGTTTTACTCCTTGCTTGCCTGATTAGCAAAATAAGCACCCTATTCCTAGGAAGTGATCAGTGAGTGCATCTTGTCCTCCAAAAGAAAAGATGTTACAGAAGACATCAGAACATTGCTCAAATCTCTTCCTGATCAATGTACTAATGTGCAAGCTATGACACCTTAAGCACAACAAATGCAGGCAAGGTAAATGCCTATTCAAGCAATCTCTGCTCAGAATGGGACCCAACCCACTCACTTCTCTTCTGTATCTACTAAAACACTTTTTGATAAGCTGTTTAAGAGATTCATATGGGAACACGGTGTTGTCTGATCTGAAAAAGGACTGAAGGCACCAGGAAGGAAGGAAGGAAGGAAGGAAGGAAGGAAGGAAGGAAGGAAGGAAGGAAGGAAGGAAGGAAGGAAGGAAGGAGTAACACTCTTTTACTTGATGGCATTTTTTAAAAAACTAAAACTTGATTAATGAAAAAAATGGCACAATACTGACTAGAAGGGGCAATGTCTTGCCTCATTTAACTTCTCCTCTTCCTTCTTCCCATCACCCTCTCAGTGAAACTGGCTTGCCTCACAGCTGGTCAACCAAAGTACCTTTGCTCCTCAAGGTGGCAGTCATTGATTTACCTGGAGCCAACAAAGCCCCAAATGTCTGGCTGTGAAGTGTCCCATGAGCCAGGCATTTGGGGAGTTAAGCAAGTCTGTGGTATTCAGGGCTAACAGGGTGAACCAAGCAAAAGTCAATAATTTCTCAGCATAAATAAATGAGCTTCTGAACATTAGTGCTCTATTGTTTTTTTACGTATATTTTAAAAAATATTTTTACAACCAGACAGAATCTCTTTGAACATTAGTGCTCTATTGTTTTTTTACGTATCTTTAAAAAAAATATTTTTACAAGCAGACAGAATCTCTTTGCCAGGACCAATACCTGTTTGGCCAGAAAGGAGTTAAAATTGTTCTCCTGAGAGTCAGCTACAGGGTCAAGACTTCAGATTGCCCCAGACCTGAAGCTGATATCCTCTTGGAAGATTTGTGTCAGGAGCCTGAACTTGGAAATCCGGAGATAATTTTTAGCGAAAGCATTCAGGGCTTGGACAAACACAACTGCTCTGAGTTTTTTAAAATGCAGAAATACTTTGACTATGCCTTACAAAACTGTATGCTAATTCCCTGGAGATACATGGCAAAATATTCCTTTCTGGAGGACTGTCACTCCATTCCCTTCTTTAAAGGGAACCTGGTTTTTTTACTGTTTCTGTGATCTTTCATTGGCTTCCAAACATCTCCATTCCCTAGCCAGGAACTGCAACAATGTATCTACTTTAGAACACTCTTGCTGGTAAGCCTGTTCCACACCTGCTCAGTTTATTACAAAGTCATTATTCTACCCTTTTGAAAGGATTTTTTGAGGATCAGTATTTAAGCCCCTGCAGCCTGGAATCCTTCCAAATAAAAAAACTGGGTGCAGTCAACCATTCGCTTCCAAGATAAGCAAGATTGATCTTTTCTATTAATCTGATTTGTTTAAAATCCAAAGATGGCTGAAAGTTGCTTGTTTCTGCACGAGGAGGGTTAAAACAGATTTAACTTTTTAAAAAATCATAACAAAAATCATTTCCCCAAATTTCTCTAAATTTGGCAGAAAGCAAGAGCAGGCTGTGTGCTACATGTGTGCCACACTTGGTGTTGATCTGAAGCTCAGTTTCAAAGGTATAAATTTTTGTTCATGCTGCTCCTGTTTTTAGAATTGCCTTATAAGTTGATTTGCTCTGCTGAACAATAACATCTCTGTGTTCCACACCTGCTCAGTTTATTACAAAGTGCTGAACAATAACATCTCTCCATTTTCATGCAATGATAATCCAATGCTGAAAATGGCACAGGACCTTCAGCTGTGACCAGGAAGCCAATCCAGAGTGGCCAGGGCAGGCTGTGTGGCATGCCCAGCTCAAACAAGGAGAAAAAAAGTCAAGAACAACAACTGGGGTCAGTCAATTCTTCCTCTCCACCTGTCTCATTTGGTTTAAAAGTAAGGCCAATCTTGAACATAAAGCAGAGTGCTGGGTGCTCTTTAAAGTATCCAAGGCAGAGAACTCTCCCCTGCTCCCCTTAGCTATTTTGGACACATGCAAAAAGATGGGCTTTAAAAGAGCAGGCCTCTCCCTATCGTGTGTACTTTGTCATTTTTGCTATAGTCTGCACAACATAAAACAGGATATATGGAACTCTCTCCCCCAGTCCTCCATTAATGTGGACCAGTTTTGAACTAAATACATGCGCCCTCTATAAGAGCTGGTTTTCATACAGCAGCTGTATAGTTTGTTGCTGTCAGATTTCTAGTGTTAATAGCCACATCTCACTTAGACTACAATTAGAAGTACTATATAGTCTTTGACCAATTCAGCTGTTTTCTCAAAAGGCTGGAAAGAAATCCCACATGAGGTGCCTGAAGTAGATTAGGAACTATTTTCAGAACTTGCCTGAGGAAGTTCTGAAAGCCAAGATAAAAACTCTAGTCCAAAAACAATCCTCTTTCTTATTCTCTAGTGTGTGCCTGTGGGTATCCACACACAACTGCAAACTCTGTTGTTACACACCAGATAATGCTGGTTAACTTTTTGGAAGTCTGCACCCAATATGCTGTTAGTGAGCCTACATCCCTGCAACAATTGCCCATGCCTTACTCTGCTTCTGAAGGGTTGAATTCCCATCAACACCCAGAGGAAGGATATGCTGCTTTATCTTGCCCCAATCACTGCTCACTCTTTGCCTTTGGCTTGGAGGGAGAGGGTGACTGAACAAGCAGCTACTGTGATGAAGATACCTGACAGTGCGCCCCCTCTTGGTCTGAAGGTTTTGAAAGATGTGTAGTAATGTCAACCCATGAGAACACCATTTGCAGTCTGAACTGGCCTTGCCATTAGTGAAGCAATGTTTTCAGGTGACAGGAATGCAGCTGCCCTCCAATATGCCTTCTGAGCTGCCAAATATTTCTCTGTTGAAAGCGATGTACGCCACATGGCCAATACTGCATCCATTAAACTGGCCTACTTGTCACAACCAGTATGGCATAGTGGACCAAGTACCAGACTAGGACTCAGTCTACTTGTGTTCAAGTCCTTGTTGGGACATGGAAATTCGCTGGGGGATGGCAACGGTAAACCACTCCTTCAACGTCTCACATTATCCCAAATATTGTGTGAAGGTTGCTGTAAATTAGAAGCAACTTAAAAACACGTAACAGTTACCTTCAACTGTGGTATAAGATGTTTTCCCATTACAAATACTGAAGTAAAATTTGGCTATCACTTTCAGTTTGTGGAATGGGGGAGGGTAAAGCCATCTTGCCCTACATACCAGATGTACAAATTTTTTAGGCCTGCCCCGGTGGCAACAGCACTACCAGTCTTAACACTAGAGTGCTGGAGATAATTTGAGATTTCAGCAACTACTGGCCCTTGAGGCTGTGGTGTGACCTGGCACTGCTTAAACTTCATGATACTAAAGGGCAGAAAGCCAACCCTACCACCTCCATTCTTAAGGAGTTGGTGAGGAAGCATACTTTGGAATGCCGCCCAGAGTAGACCTTTGGTCTAGATGGGTGGAGAAGAAGTCTAATAAATAAATAAATAAATGGCAATCTACAGGGCGAGGGTCACTTGCATACGGAGACGGTATGTTCCAGCTCTCAGAAACTATTGCTGCTCTTATTCATGGCTTTGACGTGTACAAGGAATTCCATAAGAGATCAAGTGCAAGCTATTCAGAGAAGGGCCATCACAGATATGAAGAACTGCTGGATAACTCAATGGTTTATGTGTTTGTGGAGCCAGAGTCTGGAAGTTCAATTCCTCACTGTATCTCCCTGTGCAGGGCTAGATGTGATGATCCATAAGGATCTGCTCTTTCTGCTCTTCAGTTGTAAGATGAGGAGGAGGAGGAAGAGTGAAGTCTCCACTTCTATGGAGTTCCCTCCATGCTGCGCTCTACAGAAAGCTGCTATATAACATGTCAGATCAAAGGCCCAGACAGCTCAGTATTGGCCAACTTTCTTAGCAGCATTTCTCCAGAAGCCAAGCCCAGAGATGCCAAAAATTGAACCTAAGTACTTCTTCAGACAAAGGGCATGGTCTCCTTCTGGGGTACAGCCCTTCCCCTATCAAAGCCCAGCACAACTGTAGCTCTTCCTTTAATTCCTTTAATTCTTTCCTCTGTCTAGCCAAGCATCAAAACAGTGTCAAACCTTACAAAAAGGCATAAATATGTCCTCAATAACAAAGTATCTCTATCAGTAAAAGACAATGGGTGCCCCACAGGCTTCAATTTTAGTTGCTTTTGCCAAACCACTGTCGTTATTTTAAAAAAACTTTCCAGAATGAATAATAGTAGCAACCAATCAATGTCAATTACCACTAATTCATCACTAAAATGAATCTGGACAGCTGATAAATAAAATCAATTCACTTTTGAATCTCATAACCTTGTGTACTTCATTCACAGACATGAAAACTGGTGTAGAAAATTGAAAGATGTAAGTGAATGCACAAGACCCAAGGTGCTGGGAAAAACCAGACTATTCTGATACACAAGAAGGAGAAATAATTAGTATTCCTCCGTCCCCTTACCTTGTTCATCAAGGAGAATGTTGTCTGGCTTCACATCTCTGGAAAGCAGAAAACAAGCCTTCATTGTGAAATGTGAAATGTTCATTGTGAAATGGAAAAGGCAGCTATTAAAATACACATATGGGCAACTTTTGTGGTTCTGAGGGACCTGCTAGGCCACTCTGCTAGTGGTAGTAAGTACCCACAAATGGGAATGTGCCTTTTCTCTCTCCCCCCCATGGCATTTTATATATGAAATGTGTGAGGAGCACACACCTTGTTTAAAAAAGGCTTACAGAAGCATTTTTCTTCTCCTTAACAAGGGATGCACTCTCTGTGCTGCTTGATGTCAGAGAACTATGTGCAGCTTTCTACTGTTACAAAAGTAGCTGGTAAGGCAGAAGGTAGGTTTGCACGTTACATGTTATCTGTTCCTGATATCACGTACTATGTCCTTGTAGGACATAAAACAATGTGTGTCCAGTATTACCCAATGTTTGAAATAAAATGATGGTGTGAAATTTCTGCAACCTCTTCAAGGAAACTTTATTTGAAAGAAATGCCTTACGTTGAAGAATAAAGGAATGGCATGGCCTGAACACAGGTCTGACTTAATCCAAATTTTTAGAGTTTAAGCCCAGATAGACAGCAGCTGGAGCATTATTACAACATTGCATGTGGTTTGAGTAAATGGGAGGGACATTTCTAGACTGGGGTTACTGGACTGATGGAGCCTCAGAGGACTAGGCCGGTCCTTTCACGGGTGCATGTCTGTGACACCCAGGATACTGCCTATGAAAATCTATTAGAATTCCGGGAGCTGGAATCCAAAAAAACCCCAAATGCCACCACCGTAATAATCATAATCCAAGACACTTATGGCATGAACAAACGCTAAGAGTAAGAACAGAAGAGGTTATATGCATACCCCAAATGCTGTGCATCTCTAATAAACACCTCAAGATAATTATGACAAGTAGGCAATGACATAACCTTTCAACTGGAGGTGGTGATGTGTAAGTCAAAGGTCGCCTAATGGTGATTTTTCCTGACACAAAGTATCATATAATTCAACACTAGCACTGGGGCTTAGATGTTTACTGACTATAAACTATGTAAGTGCAAGTTCAGTTTTACTGCTGAAATCCACTGAAAAGCTATCTGAAATGAGCCTGTATCTCTGTTGAATTGTACGGTTATGCCAATTCCGGACAGCTGGGGAGCAACAGATTGAGCTGTTACCTGTGTATGATATTCTGGCTGCGCAAATAATCTAAAGCTGAAGCCATTTCACAGATATAGAGTTTCACTGTTTCTTCAGTAAACTGCACATTTTGCTGGAGATGATAGCGCAAGTCACCACCCAGGAGTAAATCCACCACCATAAACATGTCTTCTTCATCCTGGAATGAGTACCTGCAGAAAAAGAACAATGGTGAGCAAACTGCAGGATGTTATTAAAATTTCAAAGAAAGTCTTGTCATATGACTTTATCATTTAATACAAATAGACACTGACAAAATAATCATAAAAACAGGTTCTTCAAATGCCTAAACATGTCTAAAGAAATGGAAAGATCTGTTCATTTATCCAGGATCTTTCTGCCCATTGCACCCATATATTTTATCCTAGCTAACTCCATTTTGTGTTGTTTCATTTTGTTTTGCAGTGCTTATTATATCACTGTGCCTTATTTGGTACCTAGCAAGGAGCAGCTGCCCCAGTTAATTGTGTCTTCCTTATACAAAACCTGCTTCTATATTTGGTATAGTCACATGGCTTCTATAATATAATCATTGCACAGTCATTTTTTCCCAGGCATAATCAATAATGTACTGAAATATCAAGCATCCTGTCTCATTTCATTATCGAAGAAAAATCAGTGCTGTCCATGTGAATGACTCATGGGCCATATTGCATTAGCCCAAGTTTGAGTTGTTGCTATTGAGCCTGCTTTTTAAAAATAGGATGTCAGGGGCATAACTGGCACCTATTTGTTCTATGAGCAGTGTTTCTCATTTAACAATGGTTTAACAATGGTTGAAAGGGAGGTTGCAATGAGACAGATAATTGTCTGGGAAACAGAATATACTGATAATGATGTAATGGAGAAATTATGGGTTAAAAAATCAACTTGCCATTCTGTCCTCAAGTGCCTTCATTAAGTGATTCCCCCACTCCCACCCTGACACCTTTTATACAGTTTAATCGAAGAACATATTTATTTATTTATTTAGATTTATATCCCGCCCATCTGGTCTAAAAGACCACTTTAGGTGGCTTCCAATATAGTAAAAACAGTGAAATAATATAAAAAACACACACAATTACATAAATCGTATTGTAATAAACAGAGTACAACAATAGAATAGAAAATACGTAAGGAGAGAATAAAGAAAAGTCAGATATGACCAGTGGCCATGCTGGTACAGTAGTATGTATACTGTGCATAGCAACTGTTCCTTTTCCATTTCTTTCTTTTGTTCTATAGAAGATTCCTGAGTTGCATTTTATTGCCAAAATCCTGTTCCTTAGCATTGTAACATCACATTAGAATAGGTCCATTGCATCAATGGAGGTTTGGTGAGTAATCTCCTTTGTAAATTGCATTTATTCAAATAGACCTGCTCTAACTACATTTTGTGGGACGTGATGGTGCTGCAGGTTAAACTGAAGAAGCCTATGTACTGCAAGCTCAGAAGACCAGCAGTCGTAAGATCGAATCCATGCAATGGAGTAAGCTCCTGTTGCTTGTCCCAGCTCCTGCTAACCTAGCCATTCAAAGCATGTAAAAATGCAAGTAGATAAATAGGTACCACCATGGTGGGAAGGTAATGGTGTTCCGTGTCTAGTCGTGCTGGCCACGTGACAATGGAAACTGTCTATGGACAAACGCTGGCTGTACAGCTGGGAGACAGGGAAGAGCACCGCACCCTAGAGTCGGACACAACTGGACTAAATGTCAAGGGGAAACGTTATCTTTAACTTCACTTTATTTGTAACTTGCCAAAAGGAACAACAAAAGAGTTGTGGCAGCTTCAAGACTAACAGATTTTATTTCAGTGAGAGCTTGTGGCTCACAAGCTACTTCCTTCTTTATAAGTTTCTCAGGAAGGGGACTGTAATCCATAAATGCTCCCACTGAAATAACTCTGTAAACGATGAAGATGCCACAATTCTTTTATTTTAATTTTTTTGTGCTAATAGTCCAGAACATCTAAACAGGGTACAATCAATTAAAGCCCAATAAAAAAATAAAATAGGAGCCAAGGCAAACCAAAGAGGTAATAAAGAAATTAGACAAAATATTTGCTTCTAATTACGGTAGTTACTAAAAGTAGGCATATTTATACTTTTGAATGACAGCTCCCAGAATACCCCTGGCAGAATGGCAAGTAACGAATCTGCGCACCTATAGTAACTAACAGCATTTTGCCACTCCCAGTCCCCCAAATATTATCTTATGATTCATTGAGGATTCCGCCATCTTCCTGGACTTTGCTGACCAAACTCTGAATGCAGTTGTATGCTAAGTACAATTTTGCCAACACCAACATAGCTCTAGTTGACATATGAGTTTGACAGACAGTGAAACAGAGTCATCCACCCACTTCACAAACTGTATTGGGGAAAAAAAAGATTCACCAGAGATTCACCAAGAAGACATGTTCGATTTCCTGCAGAATCTCCAGTTCTCTGAACACGTTCCGAACCTCATCTCTTTCAATGCACTGCTGTTTGTTCATGTACTTCATGGCATACATCTTTTCTGTGTCTCTCTTTTGTACAATGCACACCTTGATGTGAAAAAAAGAAAGAAAAGAAAAAGTGAATTGTGTTAGACTGCATGGTCTTACTTGCTTCTTTATCCAGCTGCATGAAGCCCTTCAGCCATGGATAGTCCTGATCTTGTTACACATCTCAGCTCATACTCTCTGTGGTTGCCTTCTTGCAACAGAATAAGATTTTCAACAGGCTACAGCAAACCACCTTATAACTCCAAGTTTCCAGTAATGTGCAAAATCCTGGCAGTATGTCAGAGGTAAGCAGCCACTGGTAACATCAGGGCTATACTATATGAGTAATTTAGTGCCAGTCATCAGCCACCACTTGAGAATGGGGTACCCAAAGGACATCTCTACATATGGCTCTCCATAATTTAATATCTTCAGAACACACCATTGTCAGGTGACCTTGCCATCTGAGGTACAACTGAGAGCTAAGAGGGATCTGCATGCTTGGAGAGACACCCCATCTGTGGAAAGCTTCCCACATGGGGACTCGCTTGGTATCTTATCTTGATGCCAGGAAAAAAACATTTTTTAAAAAAATCCTAAATTTATAAATCTAATTTTAATCCTGTGCATATTGCTTTAATTCCACTGACTCTTCCATACCACTTTTAGAGTGCAGTGCTTTGATGTTCTTGTTTTAACATTGTACCGTAATTTCAGCTCTTTGTAAGCTGCCCTGGGAATGCATTCAAAGACAGGACATAAATGAAATACATAATATGACAAGCTGTTTATATGAAGAACTACCATATCAACCACTGCCCATTGTTTAGCCAAGCTCGTTACTGTCTACTCTACTGGAGTTGTTCACTGTCTCAGGCAGAAGATTTTTTTTAATCTGCCACTTGATGGGGGGGCATCCAAGGCAGGTCTGAACGGGAATCTGTCTGAAAGTAGAAGCAATTACTCTTTAGCTATCTTGATGTTTTGACCTACAACCTCTTATCTACAAGCTACCCATGGTCCAAGAAGAAGGGCATGCCACATCCTGCTGTGGCAGAATGAGGTATGCACCTGCTTTTATTAGCGGCCATTCTTGCTGAGCGAATGGAAGTGATAGACCAAAAGATCCATAGGGCCAAAAAAGCCTTCATTGCAACTTACAGGCTGGAATCAACCTATCTAATTATTAAAAACAGTAGTCCCAGCTTACTTAGTTTTTATTATCTCAGGGTGTCATTGTTTAACTCTTCAGATGCATAAGTTAACAGAAAACAGAAATACAATATGCTGCATAAATGCACATTATATGCTTCTTGACTTAGTGTGTAGGTTAATGACAAAATCATGTGCTTGAGTTACTGGATTTGCACATGTTTTCGGGTATTGGAAACGTGGCAAATTGGACTAGGGAGGATTATGGCAGATCAATGATGGTGGCCTCTTTTTAGCCTGTGGGAGTCTGCCTTCTTCATGAGCTAGAATTCTATCCTTGACACAATTCTTTTAACTGGAGACACCAGGGAGTAAAATAGGCACGTGTTATTCATACTGAACGATGCCCTCCTCATATATTTTCTGTCCGATGCATTTATTCTTGAACAAATAGTTACACCTAGCTAAATTCTGGACTTGAATCACTTTTCATATTCGTGAATTGCCTTTAGAGGCATACGGGTGAAACTTCTGCTCTGTTAGAGGATTAATTCTATTACCATGCAGACAACCAGGCTGAAGCTCCATTGCCCTTGAGATAGCTTATTCCAGAAACAAAACTGATGCTACCAGCTATTGACACTGAGAGGTTAATTTACTTCCTTGAAAAAAACAGATTCATCTGCCAACCAGTGCAAAAACAGGTGGGCTCCAGTTACTGTATATTCTTACAAATGCTTTGACTTTGGACTGTATTTTTTCTTTTCCAAGGCTTCTTTCAAGCATTGTGAAACACTTAATTACAAGGTAACTATTTGGAAATGAGTTGATGAAAATTCTACACCAGGCACATTTACATCCGTCGTCCTTTAATTAGCAGATGCTTAGGAAGCTGTGCCTGCATCTAAGAAATTAATATGACCATTCATTCATACAGTTTCCTCAGCAAAAACAGAAGGTTGAACATGACCTGAAGGTGACATCAAACAAATAGTTAGAACAAGAATTACTCATATGCCAACAGAAGTAAACAATCAGAACAGGACATGAATGGGCACGGAGCATGACCGCTTGTTATTAACAAACTGCAAGTTGCTGCCAACATATAATGTGAAAGCACCATGGAGGGATAAGATGTAGGGAGAACAAATAATAGATAGTTATGATGATTTGGGTGAAGACCTCAGCTCTACCATCTACTTTAGAGAGGCACGAATAGAAGAAATGAGAATCAGCACATTTTTATATGACAGACAGTACGTTTATTTGTTTATTTCAGTATATCTCTCTTGAATGTAATGCCAGTACTAAATATAGATTCCCTGAAGAGGTTAAAGTTAAGATGCACGGTGCGTTGTGCATGGACGTTTAAATTTCTAACATTTCTAGTTATAAAGTTATTAGCCCTGAAAAAACCCCGTATCAAGACTCTGGAATCACTGTCAAACAGAGCAGACATACCTGGACTGAATGTTCAGCAGGCCAGACTCAGTATAAAACAGTTCCTTGAGGGAAGGATAGAGCAGACTGTTGCAGACAATATTTTGGCTCATAAATACTCATACACAACACTTATGCAACTAATGATGCATGGGGGATCTTCAATGCATGTTATTTCTTTGCTTCCTCTTTCTCTTATCAGGCCTGCTTTATGTTTCTGTTCCAGTTCCTATTTTGGAGGTGGTGAAGACTTTCAATCCAGCACACAGTTCAGAGAATACATGAACTAGGCAGTCACTGATGATACCCAAGCCTGCAAGGGACTTGTTTGCAAAATGCCTTTCCCCATCACCTCAAGGAAGTAAAATCCATGAGTGAAAATTCTGTGTCTTTATGGTGGACAGAATTCTGTCCTACACATTTTTTGGAGGAGAATACAGAAAACAGAGGGCAGTTGCCTCCAACATCATGAAGGGACATGGCCCCTTTCTAGTCCCTTCTCATTTTTGCACTTCTATTATATTTATATCTTGCCTGTCTTTTAAATACATGGTTCTGCTCATCTCCTCCATTCTGCATTTGGAACAGACCTTGTAGGATTACATATGTTGAGGAACAGTGGCTGGGCCAACCTCATGAAATGAGCAAAATGGCTATGTAAAGACCTGAATCTGCATTACTGTCCTTTAAGCCCTCACAACTGCTCACCACCCAAGCCCCACTCTTCCTAAGAGTCCACCCTAAGAGTCTATGCCTTACAACTCTATCTTATTTCCTACTGTTCCTCATAGCCTTTCTCTTTTCTCTCCATGCATGTTCTCTCTCTGTTTCTTGTCTTTGACCCTCCCCTTTGCTTTACAAAGCTGCTGATTTTATTTTCAAATATTTCTATGCACATCATTCGGATTAGCGGCATGTTTTGTAATTGAATTGTCCATAGAATGCCTTCTCTATTTTCCCTCTCTTCATCAGAGCTTATTTTTCTGAACTGAAGCATCCTTCACAACTAAAGTGTGATGGTTTCCATGCTGTCTTGACACAATAGACACCACACTCGTATCTTCTTAGAGACATCAGCTGGTTCTAGATTAAGGACTGTGTTTGTCTGTCTCCCACTGTGAGGTGGTAAGAAGCAGGTCTTGACATTTGAGCATGCATATACCTGACTCATGAGCAAATAACAGGAATAAAGAGTTTCTGCATTATTCATTCTGTTTCAAGAATAATTTGGGGCAGCATTCCCAAAAATGAAAGGCTGCAATACAGGAAGTGACTCTTGGACAATGCTGATAACCTACGTATGAGCAAAAAGTTGGTATTAGAACTACAACAGCAAGATTTAAAAAAACCTGTGGGACAGTTTACATTATCTTTCCACTTCAGAAATGTTGCTAGCTTTGAGAGGCCACAAACAGAACACCTTGGGGAGGACACTTTGCTATCTGCCTTGCTTTTTTCTATCTTGCAGTGGCTCTGTGGTTACAGTGATGGTGGCTCTCTTCCTGTCAAAGAGAAGTGCTGCAGGGCAGGCTACACGTCTGCAGTGTACTATTTTATATCATTTTCTTTGCTAAATTTGAGTAGCAGCAATCTGAACTAATCAGCCCCAGCCTCTAAAGTGAGGACACTGAAGCAGTGTCCTCACTCTAGAGGCTGTGGCTGATTAGTTCAGATTGCTGCTTCTCCTGGGCTGCCTCCTGCTCTCATAATCTTAGTGGCTGCACTCTCCCAGTGGATGATTTGTTTAGTTCAATGCTGCTCGACAATGCCAAGCCAAATGCCTTTTGGCAAAATGCCAAAATGGTGGGTTATATGACTTCAGCCTTGACCAGCTAGCCATGTTGAAAACACTTTCCTTTAATCCAGAGTGTTATGATTTGGGGTCCAGACAGTGCCACTACTTTCCAAACCAAACGGTCCTGCCTACAATCAGCTTCAAACTCACCTTAAGACAGTTTGCCTTGCAAACATTTGCCACGAACCTTTGGGACATGCATTTATGATTCTCTGTGCTGCACCTGAGCTACTGGTGTATGCCTGAAGAAAGGATTTTTAATTCACAAAAGCTTGCAGTCATTGTTTGGGGTATTTTTTAATGGTCTACTAAATGTGTCACATTTTTCTACTTTTGTAATTCCAGATAAAAATCCTTCTTGCCCGACCGTCATATCTAACTCATATATTTTTGACTGCATGCAAGGCTTTTTTTTTTTGGGGGGGGGAATGTCCATTGCTGATGGTATTCCTCTATTCAGATGGTTTACTATTCTGAATATCACTACATGGAAGGAGATCCCATGGGTTTATCCTGTTCAGCAAGTCATAGGCAGATCAGTCCATATTTTATGGCTACAGAGATTATGAAGACAGCATGGTTGGAATGACAACATGAACTGGTAGCTTTCTCCAACTGTTGTCCCATGGAATGAGTGAAGGAAGCACCCAACAAAAAAATGTTGAGGTGAGTT